CTTGACTACCTACTCTACATAAAGTGCAAACTACTTTTCTTTGAATGATCAAAACTATGTGATAACTAATTAGATGTGATAATTGGGAATTATTATCTAAAATGATTTGTTTATATTTAATTCTAATGACTATGATACATGTTGTTTTTATACAAATTTAAGATATAATTTATCAGCTATACGAATTCATATTCACTATATCACTTAAATTTTATTAGTCCAATATTCTTTCGCTTATTTGTTTAGTTATTTATTTGTTCATTTGCTTGTTCGCTTGTTTGCTCACTTTATATGATTTGATCTTTATCCAATAAGATATGAAATATGTATAATCCAATAATATAAAATATTATGACGAAAGGTCATTATACAACAATATGAATATAATAATTAATAATATATGATAAAATTGTAAAATGTTACAAGTTCTTTATATGATTTTTATAATTTCATAAAATATTACAAATTATAAAATTAATGATTTTTATAATATAATTATAATAATATCAAAGATATTTTAAAAGATTTACAAGTTATTTTACTGAGAAAATATTTAATAAAAAGAGAAAAAAGATAATTTAGAATTTAATTTTGGAATTGATTAAATCTTATATTATTATATTTAAAATAAAAACTAAAAATCACTTTTAAGAAATCTTCTTATATTTTTATTTTGACCTCTCATCTATTTTGTAAGTTATATGTATTTGTTATTTATAATTTTTTATTTTAATTATAAAATTATTTTGATTATTATTTGTCTTATAACCTCTTGTCTACTTTGTAAAGTTATAATTCATATTTATTTGTTTATTATTTTGATTTCTTGTCTTAACTGCAAAGTCATACTTGTTATTTATTTAATCTTTTATCTTAATTGCAAAGTCATATTAACATAAAGATTTATTATTTTATTTTTATTTATTTAAATTCACAATTATTCTTACTAAATATAGTAAATTTTTAAAGTTTATCAATTTCTATATTTATAAATCTCTTATCTTTTATTCATTATATCTGAAATATATAATAATTATTAATTCAACTTTTATTATATTTTTCTTATAAAAAATAATTATTTTATTTTTATTTTATTAATTTATTTTTTTATTTTTATTATCATTTTGAATAATTACTCTTTTCTTATTCTTACTCTTTTTGTATATGCAAAAATTTTGAGTAAATAGAAACTGTTATTATAATTGATTCTTTAACTTAATTTATTAAGGTATTGGTTCGATATTGCTTGAATTTTATAATGAATATTCTCTATTATATACACAATTTAAATCTTCTTATTCTTAATTTCATCTTAATAGATGCTATATGTATTAATAACTTGTGAAATATTTTATAGTGTTTCTATGAACCAAACTGAATCAGACTTTTGTCTGGATTCGAGTTCAGTTCAAAATTCAAACTGAACTCGAATCAGACTTTGGCTTGAGTTCAAGAAAGATTTAAAGTTTGAACCAAACTCAAATTGAATCATTATACGAGTTTGAGTCTGGTTCGAGTTCAATTAAAGATCAGCATATAGTATCATATATTGATTTGTAGTTCTAAATATAAGCTACAACTTTAATATTTTTACTTATAAGTACAATTTATGATATTTAGTAAGAATTAAAATTTTACATAGTAATAACTAAAATATTTTTATTTTTACATTTATTAAATTTGATTGTAAATACTATGTAACTCTTTGAATAATTATTATTAATGATAACTATCTTATATCAATTTGTAGCTCTTATTTCTGATTATAACTTTACTTATAACTGTAGTTTATGATTACTATAGCAAAATAAATATTTATTATACTAAAATTAAAGTAGATTAAAATTGTAATAATTAAAATAAATTCATATAACTTCTTAAATATTTATCCTAAATATTAACTATCTTATATCAATTTGTAGCCCATGTTACAATTTACAACTTTACTTAGAATATCAACAAATATTTACTTGAACTCGAATTAAACTTTTGATCAAATTGAGTCTGATTCGAAATTTGAACTGAACTCGAATCAGACTTTTAATTAGATTCAAATTTTCAAATTGGATTTTTTGTTAGATTCGAGTTTGGTTCAAGCTCGAACTGAATTAGATTCGAACTGAACCAGATTTTTTTTCAAAATTCTAATATTCCATATATTATTATAGTTCTATTAAAAAATTTTTGCTATAATATTTATATATAAGATGAGATCCTATTCTTATTATTCACTTTCAAAATTTATTATTTCTTAAACTAATGATAATTGTTATAATTTATTAAGACTATATATAACTAAGTAGCAAAGTCTTCCAATATTTTATAATAAGCATAAAAAACTGAGAACCAATACATATTTAATTTATCTTTTTATATTATTAAAACTTTTATATTTTATTATCTTATATTTTTATTTTACAAAGTAAAATATTTAACAATAAGAGTTTTATTATAATTAGATATTTTTCATAATCACAAAATAATCATTATATATGATTATTTTATATAATCACTTCAAATAATTACTTTGAATGATCATTACAAATAATCATTCTAATTAATCATTTCAAATACTTTAAATGATTATTCCAAATAATTATTTTATAATTATCAAATATTTATAAATATAGCATATATTTTAGTTAATAAAAATAATTTAATTCAATATTCAATAGTTAATAATTAATAAATTTCATAATTCTTAGAATCTCAAGAATAATTAATAAAAATATATAATAAATTAATAATAAATTTATTCATTAATAAAATTATATATATTTATTATTATATTATGATCTTATAATAAAACTATATATTTATTATATAACTTTTCTTAATAAATACTCTCAATATAAATTTCAGGTCTTATTCTAGTAGATCACATGATAAACACACTGTTATCATTATTCTAAATCTATTATAATCATGATTTAATACTTGAAACATTATATATTTAACTATATTATTTATATTTTCTCACTTATCATTAATAATACATATTATTATAATTATCCTGATTAAATAACATTATAGACTCTTTTTCATATAACTTCTTGATATTTTAGAATAACAATATAATTTCTAATTATAATATGTTTCTTAATTATAATATGATTTTTAATTATAATATAATTCCTAATTATAATACAATTTTTAATTATATAATTTTTAATTATAATACAATTCCTAATTATAATACAATTTTTAATTATAATATAATTTTCAATTATAATATAATTCCTAATTATAATATGATTTTTAATTATAATATGATTTTTAATTATAATATGATTTTTAATTATAATATAGTTTCCAATTATAATATAATTTCCAATTATAATAATACAATTTCCAATTATAATATAATTTTTAATTATAATATGATTTTTAATTAATAGAAATACAATCACTATATTATAATTATTTGATTGAATTAATTTGATCATAATAAATTTAATTTTATTATATATATATTAACTATATTTTATATACAAATATAATTACTTTCATCTATAATAATACAAATTGATTTAGAATTATAATTAATTTTAAAGTATTGATATGCTCATTAAAAACTTGAAGTAAATATATTTAAAATTAATGCTTACAGAATTGTATTTCTTTTTTAAGATATTTTTTAAAAAAGGAAAGTAAGTGATTAATTTTTCTAAGAGAATATTAACATTAACAAATATTTCAATTAAATTTTTAATTACTTTTTTTTGATATTGCTATATGTAAAGTTATTTGTAAAGTTTAATTTATTCATTTTTTTCATAATTTTTTTTGTAATTGATGTTTTTTACTTGTATAATGTGTATCTATTATTGATTTATACTTTCATTCTACTAAAAGATTACAATAATTACAAAAAAATAATCTATTATAAATATAAAATACTTTAGGATAATCTTTAAGTTGTATATAAAAAAAATTCAGATTATTAAATATTTATACAAAAATAATAAATAAGTTAATATTAATTAATTTATTAAATAAAATTTTCTCATTTTATTTTTATTCAAAAATATTATACATTTACAAAAGCATATGAAATTATATAAAATTATGTCAAATTATATGAACTTGTATATTTTGTGAAAGTATGTAGTGATATTAGGTAATTTGTATTTATCACAAACTTTTGTGCATTATGTGATATTTTGTGGAATGCCATATATCATTGTTCCTGGATCATTTTGCGTCATTTGGTATCAAAAACCACGTGATTAATTTTCACGTGCAATTAAATATGTATTAGGAAGAGTTGGCGTGCAAAGCACATGAAAACGACGAAAAGGCTGAGCGAAAATGTTAGCCTTTTTATGCTTAACTGACTCTTTTTATCGTTATATTTGTTAGATTCTTACCACTTTACCATACAAAGTATTGATTAAATTATTTCATTTCTTCGAGATAGCTTGTTAATTTTATATATAGTGTCATTTTGTTGAAGCTCTAGACACATTTCAACAAAATGTCCATAATTACTATAGTTATAATGTTTTTCTTTAGTCTTTGCCACAAGACTTTTCAATTAATACGCGTCGCTTATTATACGACAAACCGTTGGCTTGCATTCCTTGCACATCTGAGCATGATGTATGCCGTAATAATATTAATTAGTCGTTTTTTTTTTCTGAGGGGAATTAAAATTGAGTATAATAATGCTTTTTATCTCTTTGATAGGTTTTTCATATGGAATTCGTTACTTATGGTTATTGGGTGTGTTTCAACGGTTCAAATGGTGATTGGATTTGGATTTGAAGTGGTAAAAATCACGAATCCACGTAGGAATAACACTAACCCAACAACACCAGTTACAGAAGAACCTCGAAGTCCAATTAATGAATTCATAAGAAATCGAAGAAAAGGGTATCAAGAAATGGTTGATGGATTATACGTCAAATATATGAATCGATTAGTTGGTGTACAACAACAACAAGCAGCCTATGTACAACAACAGCATCATCACCATTACTATCATCCACAACCTCAATACATTTATACACAACAACAGAAATACTATTATCCACCGACGACAGTGAATAATCCGGCTGCCGAATCATCAATGCAGGATGAATATGAATTAGGAGTTTCGGCTGAAGATGAAGAAATACCAGTATCGCCGACAGATGAGCGAGAAGAGGAGGAGGAGGAAGAAGAATCATTTCAAAGAGATTATATGAAGAATACAGATTTTGATGGTCATATACAACATGTTCAATATGAAAATTTTAATGATAATGATAACGATAACGATAATGGCGAAATTAATTTTTCTGATTTTGTCTCAACATCATCATCAAGTAATAATGCCTCGGTCTTTGAATCGGAACCAATGATCACACCGAAAAACATGAATTTTATTCATTCAACGCCTAACTCTCACGAAAATGTCATAGAAGATTGATTCTTCTATTCTATATTCAGATTTATATTATATTAAAGTCGTCATATTTTTTATTTAATTCGGGTTTATGCAATTATCATTAATAGATGAGTATAAAAATTAACTCGCTCTGTATTTCATCTTGCATAATTTTAAAGTGATTTTCATAAGTATTTATTTGATCCGCATTCAATGTAACAAAGTTTTACGGTGAATGTCATTTTACTTCCCCAGAAAATTCATACAATTAACTTATCAATATATTGAGCATTACAAGAATCTTTGTGACGATAACAATAATCATCAAATAAAGTGAAAAGGGGAGATCAAGGTCTAATCTAACAGTATTTCATCTAAAGAAAAGTACATTCTAGTTATATATGTCTATATGATAATAATACACAACAATGCTATTATTATTGTTGTTCATAACTACAATATAAAGAAAAAAGAATAAAAAGGATGTTGGATTTTCTCGCTACTTGAAATGGTCAAGAGAAGCGTAGAATAATTCAACGAGTTAAGCAATCAAATTAAAAAGCAATACAATATTCTCCCCTCATCATTAAAAACCTCGTGCTTTGCGGCTGACAAGTGCGCTTGAACTCGATTATTCAGTCTTGGTTACTACGCCTTCTATTTCAGCACGAGCAGCAGGCGGCTTTAAAGAATATTCATCGTTAGAAAAGACCGAAACTGAAACAAGAGGATAATAAGCTTATATAAGACATACATACCATCAATTGCTCACTTTGAACGTGATAGTAGCGCTCGAGTGGCGCAAGATCAAGCATAGAAGTTTTTGTAAGAATGTTAATCATCGTTCCTTCACGACCATAGCCACCACAACAGATAGCACTATTTAATTCAAGTAATATAAAATATTAATAATCATAACTATTAATAAGGTGAACAAAATCCCGGATTACCGGTCATGATAAGGTTCTTTGCGTGGAGGTAAATCATAATTGATTACGAATGGCGAAGGGCTAAAAGTAAGCGAGGAGGAATGAGTCCCGACAACTACAATCATTCCTTCGTTAGTATCAAAGAACTTATTTAGAATTTCCCAACGTTGTTCATCAGGTGTATCATAATCCTTGATTATGAAAAAAAATTAAGTATTACATAAATACCATAATTATAATAGCATTGAGAAACTATGCATAGTACTTACAATAGACCACACCGGATAATCATGATACATATCATGCAACTTATCGGCCAAAGAATTGACTGTATCGGAATTACGACAAAAAATGACGGCTTTTTCGATTTCGAGAGCTTCGATAGTTTCGCAGACCGCGCTCAACTTTTGCTCTTCGTTATTGACAATCTTAAAATAGAGATGTAAACCATCCTTAAATCCACTCTCGTCAAGAACTATCGCCGCATTTGGAGCTTCGCGATCTTTTAGTTCGGCGAGAGTGTAAGTTGTTGCGGTGGTCATTAATACTCTTTTAATTCGCGGGAAACTTCTCAAGATATCAAAGGTCTTGTAACCGTGTTGTCGGGAAAACATGAGACAACATTCTTCGACGACAATCGATTTGATGTGTCCGCCAAACCATTCACGTGTTCTTATCAAAGAGAGCATTCTGCCTGTAATTTATAATATTATTACATAATAAATTAGTAAATGGTTATTTCATTCAACAAAATTAAATTATTTACCTGGAGTGGCGATGATTATCTGTTTAGATCGATCTATATTTGAAATGATGCTAAGATCCTCGTCAAGAGTAGTTTCCGGGGTACAAGTGACAACGCCTAATCGAAGGAATCGACCAACAGAATTCAATATTTCTGCGACAAAATGGCCAATATCTTTTGTTGGAATAAGGATAATTGCTTGACAAAGAGGATCTTCTGGATCTATCTCTTGAAGCAACGCAATAACGAAACACATGACTCTTTGCTCAATGCAAGGGATTTGAATAATGACATTTCGGCCAGAAAAGATAGCTGGAATAGCACGTTGTTGGATTGGTGATGGTTCATTGTACCTGTTAGTTTATTCCATTTATTGTATTAGTAAATGTATTTTAGAGAATATTGTATAGTCAAGAGTATTTTCACCATCCGTGTTCACGAATACCATCCAGCAATTGCTGCTTCAAATTCATGGTTTCAAAGGTCGAAACACTTTGATTCCAATTTTCTTGCAGCAGGATTCGATTATTCTTCATTCCTCCGGCATTCCTGTTCGCCTTTAAGAAGAAGCGGTTGACATAATTATCTATTACGAACAGACGAATTAAATCAGTCAAATTAAAATACCTGAAATCGAAACCCACGACTTCCACCTCTTTGAAAGCCGCTACCTCGAAAGCCCCTGTTCATACCGCGTCCGAATCCTCTTGAGAAACCCCTGCCAAAGCCGCGACCAAATCCGCGATTATTAAATCTTTGAACGGCAGAACCAGACGTAGGAGTGATTTCTTGTTGGGATTGTTGTTGCGTCTTTGCAGTCTTTCCTGCGTTCTTTTTCGCGAGTTGATTTTGTTTTTGTGACTGCGTTTGATTATTGTTGTTATTGTTAAGGACTGTTTGATCGGATTCGGCTTGAGTTACTGCAGCCTTTTTCTTTTGATTTTTTTTTTGCTTCCTTTTATTTTTGGTTTGTGTTTCTGCAGTAACTTGAGCAGGCGCTTCTGGAACATTAACGCTGCTGGTTGACTCTTCAGTTTTCTTAGGAGAGGCATCTTTACTTTGAGGAGCTGAATTATTGTTACTGACGGTAACCGAGTCTTCATTAGTTTTTACTACGGCAGACGTTGACGACGCGTCGTCGAGTTGAGTAACAGCAACGTCTTGTTGTTGTTGGTTAGTTGAAGTGGTGTCATTGTTGGTTACTACACCATTACCAATAAAATGATACGGTGAAATAGAGGCGACCGTTTTAGAAAGTTTTGCGAATTTTTCTTGAAGTTCGGGAATCGCAGTTAAATTCGCCTTTATTTCGGGGAGGAGAGCCATGGCTTGTTTGAGCTCCGGTAGGATGGTTAAAGTCAATTTGATTTCTTGAATGGCGTCGACCAGGTTGGTTTCGTCGTTCACTTCAATTTCAGTCATTTTTATTTCTTGCGTGACACCTTCTTCAGCTAGAGTTGTCACTGTTGGCTCCATGTTTTATTTCTTTATTTTTTTTAGAGTATAAACAAGGTGATGATATATGAGGAAAGGAAATTGACTAGAGGTGAAGAATTTAAAGAAATAATAGCAGAAGGTTATACTGAAGAGAACAATGAATACAATCGAATAAGAAAGAAAAAACCAAAAATACGCGCAAACCCTTAAATATAAGCATTTTTTTAGGTGGCTATGACGTGTACGAAAAAAAGCCAAGAGGACAGTTTTTTAGACTAATATAGATGATATACGCTGATATACTGATGATGTTGATGTTGGGTGAACTTTACAATGAGCGTCGGCGTGGGATGAAGTAGCTTTAATAAAAATGATAAAACGCGAAAAAGAAATTTATCAGACATGTTCCTTTGGAGAGACGCGTAGATTTTGATAAACTTTTGCAGATTCATGTTCACATTCAAAACCGGATTTTTGGTAAATCAGTAAATCAATTTAATTTCTCCTTTGAATCACTAATAAATTTAATTCATGATCCATTAATCTAAAATTGTCTGTTATAACGATGACAACCCAAAATACGATATATGTCCCTACAATATATTACCAGAAATTCCAAAAATGAATTTGTCACTTTGGATCCCGATATCTCGACATCTAGTAATTCCATTCGTATAGTCGAGACGAATTACTAGATGTCGAGATATCGGGATCCCAAGTGACAAATTCATTTTTGGAATATATTATTAGATCTGTAAATTGGGATGGTGTTAGTAAAAAAGAAATAAATCTATTAAAGTAATTTGTTCCTTTTCTACTCTTAGCTTATTAAATGCCAGACTTATTAATTTATTTATAGTTTTATTGCCAAAACATTCCATTATTTAAGTAAATATTTAATGCTTGTTTACAAATAAATATTTACAAGAATTATTAATGAATCAAATAAGATTTGAACATGTAAATTAAAATTGTTTTACAAATATAAAATGCTAAAACTTCATAGTAGCCAGAATCATATTCAAGATTATTTGTATTCTTTAAAGCTTTAAACTAATTCTATTGTTACCATTTTCATATGTTTTATAAACTTCAGTTAAATAAAAAAATAATTTAATAATTAAGTGTTTTTATAATTAAAGTACTAAAAATAGATAATATATGTTTATTTTGCCAGGTAGCTAGAATGAGCTCAAAAATTTTCTTTTACAAAGAAATACAATATGATAGCTAATTATAAGATGATAATTAAGAACTATTGCTATTAAGAACTTGTTTTAATCTAATTCTAATAATTGTAATAAATGTTTCTTTTATATATGCTCAAACTATAATATAGTTAATACATGAATTCATATTTACTAATTATCTTAATTCCTATTAATTAATTATTCACTTATTTATTCACTTATTTGCTTGTTTGTTTGCTTGTTTATTCATTTGCTTGCTAAGTTACTTGCTTATTCCACATGATTATATTCTTTCAATAAGATATAAAATATTTATAATTCAATAATATTAAATAATTTAGTAAAATATTCAATCAAAGTTCATTATATAACAAGACTTTTACTGTTAAGATTTTGCTTTGTAAAATTAAAATGTTTAAATATCTTTTTTTTTAATTGATTACTAGATTTTTGACTTATATTTCCAATTGTTTTTGAAGTTAATATTTGTTTATTTTATATAATATTATGAGTGAGTATTTAGAGAATTTAGTATTAAATTAATGTGAATAATATTATACCAAAATAGCTAAACTCAATCATAATATGAGTTTATTAATTAATAAATATATATTGTTTTATTATTATTACTAAAAGATATTATGAATCTTCTTAATATAAATATATTATTATCATTTTCATCAAAAATTTTGTAATTATTTAATTTTTGATCAACAAAAATTAAAATATATTACAAAGTAAATTAATATAATATAATGTAACTCAATAATAATCAAATTAATTTATCTCTTTATTTTTCATTTATTTTCACTTTAAAATTTATATTTTTGTTATTGATTTATCTTATTTATATTTCTATCATATTTATTTTTATCTTAAATTTTATTATTTTTAATTACTCATTCTTATATTTATTTTCTTTTCTTTTTTACTCTTGTTACAATTATTCTTAAATTTTTTGTTATAATTATCTATAATTAAGTGATTCTAACTTATTAATTCTTAACTGATTAATTATCAGTTAACCAGTTAATTAGTTAAAGTTTTTTTATATGATTAGCTATTTCTAAATAAGAATATATAATATATTCCTATTTAGAAATATTTAATTATATAAAAAAACTTTAACTGATTAACTATATAAGAAAACTTTAAACAATTAATCAGTTAAAAATTTCTTATATATTTAAATATAGATATTATTTCTAAATAAGAATTCAAACTGACAGATCTAATTAAATTACTAGATTTTAGTTTTATATATACATATCAATATATAATAATAAATCAACTTTTAGAAAATTTAAATATAATTATACTAAATAATAAATAATAATAAATATACAAAAAAACAAAAACAAGTATCAGGTTATATATTTTATTCATATAATCCTATTAATGAAAACTTTAACACCAATAATATTAATAACAAATATCAAAATACTGAGATTAACTTCTCATATCCTATTTCTACTACAACCAAATTAGCAAATATATTATATGAATATTAAGAATCAACAATATTAATTATACAAATAATCATACATAATCAAATTATTACTAATCAAAATATTATAAATTTAAATAAAAATATTACTAATCATAATATTATTAATTCTAATATTATGAATCAAAATATTATAAGTTCTTTTTCTTTTTTATTTGATCTAGTATTTATTAATCAATAACTTGAAGTTCATAAATCAGTAATAGACTTTAATAATTTGGAAAACTTTGATAAAAATAATATTAAAGATGAATATATAATCTCAGTTGTTTCTTCACAAATATCTATATCAATAATTGCTATTTATTTTTCACAAACATTTATTATTAAATGAAAAAAAGTGCTCAAATACAAACTGAATGTAAAAGTGATTTAATAGAGATAAAAATAAAAGAATTACTAAATGTAAAATTACAAAATGTAATATAGTTTTTTCTTTGAATACTTCTATATTTTTCTATTTCTATCATCTTGATTCAGTTTATCTTATAACAAAAAATATACTATTCATCCAAAAAAAGAATAAAAACAATAAATAATCAAAAAGTATACTATAATAATTAAGTTTTTTTCAAAAAATAAACAGAAACAAGCAAATCTTTGTCTTTTAAAATTTATAATTGATAGCTTGTAATCATTTATACTATTAAAAAATAAAAAATTCAAGATTTTTTTGGCTGCTTTGTGTTTTAGCTATAAAATTTTATGTGATAATACAATCAAAATTTTGATTGTACAAGTGTTGAATTTTTATATCAAGTTTTAGCTGGTTTACTTGACAAAATTATAATGAAAATGAGCTTTACAACTGATTTGTGAATTGAATTTCATCAATTTTATATTGATATAATTGCTCATTGAATAATAAATAATTTTAAACTTTGGCAAGTTTTATTTACAATTGAAAAAATGTCATATAATCATATTGGTATAAATATAATGATGAAATTACAATATATACTTAATTATTGACATTGTTATAATATGAATATTTAGTTCTTATTTTATTGATTAATTCATATCATAAATTTAATTGGATGATATTTTATTATATTTTAT